GACATTATTTATGAATGAATGCAATGGAAAATAAGATAAAGTAAAACAACAGTGTGTTGTTACTGTTGTTAATTGTCTTGGAGTCAATTCCAACACACAGAGACTCTATCTGTGCAGGGCAGAACTGCTCCATAGGGTTTGCAAGGCTGTAACCTTCTGGAAGTTGATTGCTAGGCCTATCTTATGAGGTACCTCTGGGTGAGTTTGAACCACCAACCTTTTGGTTAGTAGTCCAGCACTTAACCATTTGCCCCACCCAGGGACTTCAAATGAATGAATACATCCTGTCTCAGTCTAGTGCTTCTATAACAGAAATACCACAAGTGGATGGCTTCAACAAAGAGAAGTTTATTCTGTCACAGTCCAGTAGGCTACAAGTCCAAATTCAGGGCATCAGCTCCAGGAGAAGGCCCTCTCTCTCTGTTGGCTCCGGAAGAAGGTCCATGTCATCAGTCTTCCCTTGGTCTGGGAGCTTCTCTGTGCAGGAACCTCAGGTCCAAAGGATGCACTCTGCTCCCGGCACTGCTTTCTTGGTGGTATGAGGTTCCCATGTGTCTCTGCTCGCTTCTCTCTTTTGTATCTCAAAAGAGATTGGCTTAAAGACACTATCCAATTTGTAGACCTCATCAGCATAACCTCATCATAGTGACAGCATTTACAACACTTGAGGAAATCACATATAACCTCATCGCTGTGATAGAGTTTATGACACATAAGGAAATCACATCAAATTACGCAATCATACAGTACTGGGAATCATGATCTAGCTAAGCTGACAGATATTTTTTGGGGACACAATTCAATCCATGCCGCATCCCTTTTTTTTTTAATATGTCAGCATAAATTGTCCTCATTCACTTAAATTTTTTGAGTACTAGCTAATAATCCATTCATTAGTTATTTCATTTATTCCTCCAACATTTAAAGAAGTCTGAGAACATATTGAGCATTTCGTTAGGCTCTGAAGACACATATGGAATAGGTTAAGATCTTGGATCTTCAGTGCTCACAGTATGGTGGATAAAGCAGTGATGGTTTTAACAAAATGACTTCACTAAATGCAGTGTTTTATAAAACAGGATATATCATGTATTAAGAACTCTTAACTGTGCTCATACGGAACCTGTACATAGATCAACAGAACAAGGGGGATACTAAGTGGTTTAAAATCAGGAAAGGTGTGTGTCAGGGTTGTATCCTTTCACCATACTTATTCAGTCTGTATGCGGAGCAAATTATCTGACTATATGAAGAAGAACACAGCATCAGGATTGGAGGAAAACTTATTAACAACCTGCAGATGACACAACCTTGCTTGCTGAAAGCAAAGAGGACTTGAAGCACTTACTGATAAAGATCAAAGACTACAGCCTGCGGCATGGATCTCACCTCAACAAAAAGAAAACAAGAATCCTTACAACTAGGCCAATAAGCAACATCCTGATAAATGGAGAAAATATCGAAGTTGTGAAGAATTTCATTTTACTTGGATCCATAATCGATGCCTGTAGAAGCAGCAGTCAAGAAATCAAACAAAGAATTGCACTGGGCAAATGTGCTGCACAAGACCTCTTTAAAGTGTTAAAAAGCAAAGACGCCACTTTGAGGACTAAGGTGTGCCTGTCCCAAGCGAGGATATTTCATTTGCCTCATATGCATAAAAGGCTGAACAATGAATAAGGAAGACTGAAGAAGAATTGATCCATTTGAATTATGATGTTGGCAAAGAATATTGAATATACAGTGGACTGCCAGAAACACGAACAAATCTGCCGCGGAAGAAGTATAGCCAGAGTGCTCCTTGGAAGTAAGGATGGCAAAAATAAAACAGGAATAGCAGTGACAGAGATCCTTTATTCTTTATTGTTAAGTGAAAATTTGTCAGAGCCCAAATCACTTCCTTTTATTAAAAAGTAGTTTTATTTAAAAAGTATTTGAGAAAAAGTTAAGTTTGGGATAATAATTATTTACCCCCCCCAAAATAAAAGTGCAAATTTTAATAATTACTTTCTTATGTGTAATTGCTAGCATATCATATTTGAAGAGGAATATTGACATTTCATGGAAATATCAATAGAATGTGGCTGAATATTTAAATACATGTCTTCACAATGGAATGTTTCCCCTGCCTAAATCAGATGACGAGAGAAAAGTAGTTTACAGATGTGCTGCTTATGTCAAGAAAAAAATTGCCATTTTTATAATCATGGAAAGCTGTTATGTAATGAAGAAAACATGTACCAGGAAGAGACTCAGCAATAGACATTTAATTAAATGAAATTTAAGCTACAAGTCAATCTAAGGTTTGTGACATGAATACTTGAGATTAATTTTCTGTCCTATGGGTACCAACAACATTTTGAGTAAGCATTATTTAAATATTTCAGATATTGGTGTTCCAAACTCATGAGAAGAAGATCTATGAATAATTTTATTGTCTTCATTCACTTAATAAGTGTATATAAACACATACTTTGTATAAAGCACTATGCAAGATTCTGGGGATACAGCAGTGACTTTTAAACAATTATACAAAGGTGAAAAGAGAACATACAGTAGAAGTATCTGACCAACTTTGAGAGAAATGGTTGATTACTGACAACAAACGATATTTGAGTTAAGCATTAAAAGATATGTAGGTGTTAAATAAACAAAGAGCCCTCGAAATTAGAGAATTTCAGACAGAATATATATAAAGGCAATGTGGAACATACTTCATTCATGGACCTCGTAGAATATCTAATTGTCTGAAATCTAACGAGTGAAAGAGTGTTAAAAGCAAAAGGACATCAGGGGACAGACCATGCAGGACTTAAATACTCTCTTTCCCAAAATTACCCTTTTTTGACATTGCTTCTGTCTCCGTTATGCTTGAGAATGAAGTTTCATTTTCTAATATGCCGGGGAACTATATGAATATTTGGTCAAAGATCCAAAGACCATAGACTTCAGATTGCCCTGAAACATTCTGGTTCACATCTGTTAACCTGCATAATTACTAACATTGTTCCTTTCTTGTTCAAAAGTGTCCCACTTTAGAGATTAAATTATCTGATTATTTTAGGCAATAACCGATTCCATAAATGTAGTGGTGATAGTAGAAAAGTTAATAGAGTTTATTCCTGTCTTTTATTCAATATTTTTCTTGTATTAGTTTAAAAAGTATGATGAATATGTCATATTTCTTCAAATTAACTTTTCCTCCTGAGTTATTTTACACGACAGTTATTTATCACGATTGTGTATGAGATGCATATTTATAACCAGGATATTATTTTGATTGTTTCAGATGGAATTTCTTGTTTAAGGATTGAAAAATAATATATTTGAAAAGTATACATGGTTTTTAAATATTGTTTGACGCCTTCCACAGGATCATAGTTTATTGTCCTATATATGACACATCTGAATAATATTTTCTTTAAATAAGATAACTAAGTTAAAATTACTCACTTATTTTAATGGCTTCAGAGTCAGAGTCAGTGTAAACTCAAAAAAAAAAAAAAACCAGTGCCGTCATAGAACTGCCCCATATGGTTTCTAAGGAGCAGCTGGTGGATTCGAACCGCCAACCTTTATGGTTAGCAGCCAAGCTCTTAACCACTGTGCCCTTAGGGGTATAACTCAGGAGAGTTCAATTCTTGTGTCATGACTGAAGGAAGGGTTAGAATAATTGTGACTACCTGGAGTCCAGAGCATATTTTGTTCATCGTAAAGAATGTGGGGAGTTACTGGGTAGTGCAAATGGTTAAACTACTAACCAAAAGGTTGGAGGTGTGAGTACACCTAGAGGTGCATTGGAAGAAAGGACTGGCAACCTACTTCTGAAAAGTCATGCTTTGAAGACGCTATGCTGTACAGTTCTACTGTGACACACATGGGGTCGCCGTGAGTCAGAATTAACTCAATGGCAACTGGTTAGAGAATGTGGAGATAAGAGAAGAAAGCAGTACCATGCTACCTGTGTGACATGGAATGCTAGGACTAGCAAAGTCCCTTAAAGAAATTAACATGTTTACATTTTGTGCCTGAGTGGCACAAATGTTTAAGTGCTCGGCTACTAGCCGAAAGATTGGCTTGAATTCACCCAGCAACTCCTGGTGAGACAGGCCTGGTGATCTGCTTCCAAAAGCTCACAGCCTTAAAAAGCCTATGGAACAGTTCTACTGTGCACGCATGGTGTTGCCATGCGTCTGAATTGACTCCACGGCAACTAACAATAACAGCAACCCATTGTTGCTCTACTTTATCTTATTTTCCATTTCTTCTATGAAATACGTATCTTTGTGTTTATTCAAGAATATTACATAGGCATCAAAAGTCTAAATATAAATGTCTTAAACTAGTCTTGAATACTCTTCTACTAGGAATGATTTTATTGTTAAGCGAAAATAAATACTTTTATAATAATGATGTAGCGTATATAAGAAAATTTTAACTTTTAGTAAGATTCTAAATAGCTATTTCAAATGATTTACTAACTGTACTTTAGAGCAAGTAGCATATGCTAAGTGCTGCATTACTGCATTTCCAAAAAGATTCTGCATAACGCCTGTACTTGATCTTGTGTTCATTTTGAGTTTCTTATTGTGAGTTTCAGGTATTCCTGCAACAATGAGTTTGTTATTCAAATGCACATAAATGCATTCAGTCCATAATAACAGTATTCATAGCCATCTATAAATAGTTGAAGAAACAATTGTATGAAATGCTTGATATTCCTCTGAACCACTTTTTGCAATTTTACTTTTAAATTCGGATTTCAGCAATAATACAACAGTGGTACTCAGAAGTTATTCAGATATTTTTGTTAGCTTTGTGTGAACAGGATGCTAGCTTCTTAAAATTATGTATCCTATTTCACCAAACCTGAGAAATTTCTTATAAATGTATCCAATTATTAAAAAATAGCCTGAACATGCAGTGTGGAATACAGTTATTAAAAATATTTTATATGCATTTGATGACCTTTCTTAATATTCCTTTTTATTTTTTCCTAGATACACCATCAGTTAAGATTATACCATCCACTCCTTTTCCACAAGAAGGACAGCCTTTAATTTTGACTTGTGAATCCAAAGGAAAACCACTGTAAGTGATTTAATGAGCAATAAAGATTTTCACTGTTTTCTCTATCCTGCTTTGATTGCAGAAATCCACTGTTTTTGTCTTTTCTTGGTGGGCAAAGTAATCTCCAGAACAGAAAAACTCCTGAACCATGTCTTCATTAAGCGTCTGTGGAAGATTGGTCTTTTACTATGTCATCTAGTGAAGCTTCTGGGAAGGTTTCCAGCTGAGATTTTCTCCTCCCCTCACCTTTGTTTTCCCCCCAGCAAGATATTTCAACCTGAAAGGCGTGTAGGCTTAATCAGTCACTGTTTACATCATCAGCTTGATATAAGTTACATATTGCTGAATTTAGTTACCTCAAGAAAAACTTTGGCTATATTAAAGCATACCCAAAATATGTACAAGTTTTAATGTTACATGGGGAATTGTTTTTCCAATAAGGGAAATTAAATCCACATTGCTTATGTAGCACTCATGAGACATAATCTGTGAATGTGATATGCTCGGAAGCAATGTGACTGGAAAGGGTGATGGGCCTAATGTTTGCAACTGGAAAATGGTTTTATTATTATACTTCAACTCTAAGATTTTACTTTGTAACACTACTAATTTACAGCTACCTCATAGAATAACTATTTTTTATACAAATATGGAGTATTCAAAATATTTGAAAGCAATATGTCATTTAAATATTGTAAGACTCTAGGCCTAGTTTTAACTAAGTTATTTGATTTAAAAAGAAAAACCTCCAACTTATTTGCATTTTTGCTTAGATTTTAATAAGTATAATTTGATTGTCCTCTATATACAATTATGTGGGATAGATTCTGTGCAAATCAGGTTAATTTACTAAAAATTTTCTCCCAATAAGATTTAAAACATTTAGATGTAGGTTTCATAATATCCTATGAGGAATTTTTTTTACAGAATTTTTAAGCTAAGAGGCCTGAAATTTTAACTTTCTTAATTATATAAAATTATACTCTACCATACTGAGTGAATCATACCTTCTTTATCACAGTTTTGATACTCTAAAATTCTTCTCTATTCTATTATTTATATACTACACACACATACACATGTTGATTTAAAGAGTATTTTATAAATCAATTGCTTATTTTTCTGTTAAAAATATTTTAAGACATTTTTCAGTCTCCAAAGGGAACAATCTTTTTTTTAGTGGCTTTCCTACATATAACCTGCTCAATTCACTTTCACAGTTCTTACCTTCTGATAAGTTTAAATTGCTTCTAGAAAACGTTTTTCCATGGCAGTGTGCTATCTAGATGTGACAAGCACATTTCAGCAGCATAGCTTCAACAAAGGCTTTCGGCTGCAATCAGTATATTATTTAGTGAAAGAAATATAATGGACTCTAGTTAGATTTGACCATAATTACATCCTCATCTTTACTCCTGATTTTGTGTATCTGTTGTCATGACATGAGTATGAATAAGACATGAGGTCATAGTGAAGTCGGGTGGGTCCTAATCCTACATGACTGGTGTTCTTATAAAAGAGGATAAAATACACAGAGACAGAGAAAGAAAGTCATGTAGTGCTGCAGATGCAGAAGAAGGAGTGACTGGAAGTACTAGAAGCCAAGAGGGGGACATGCAACAGATTCTCCCTCAAAGCCTTGGAACTTTTACATGGCTGACACCTGATCTTAGAATCCTAGCCTCTATAGCTGTGTAAAAACAAATTTCTGTTTTTATAAGCCACACACTTTGTGATATTTTGTTATGGCAGACATAGGAAACCAATACATATTTTAGGTACTAGGAAGCGGGGTGCTGCTGTAACAAATAACAAAAATGTGAAAATGACTTTGGAATTGAGTAATGGGTAGAGGCTGAAAGATTTTTGATGTTGTTGATAGTAAAAGCCTAGATTGCCTTGAAGAGACTGTTGGTAGAATCATGGAGATTAAAGGCAATTCTGGTGAGGGCTCAGAAAGAAGTGATGAGAACTGTAGAGAAAGCTTTTACTTTCTTAAAGAATGCTTATATCATCATGAACAAGAGAAGAATAAAATGAAGAACGAACTGTTAAGCAGAAGGAAACCAAAGCTTAAAGATTTGGAAAATACTCAGACTATCTATATTGTAAAAATTGAGAAAGCGTGCTATGAAGGGGACACCAAAGGTATGGCTTTAAAGCCATTTTCTAAGGAGATTAAGCATGGGAGCATGAGATTTATGTACCCAATCAACCATTTCAGCAGAAAGGCTGCCGGCATAAACTAAGAGCACAGAACAGAATGATATGAAGGAAAGCTGTCCAACTCCTGGAATTCTACATGCAGGAAACGGGAGAAGAAGCTTCTTAGTTGTGAAGATCGGTTGTCCTTCAAGAAAAAGAAAAGATGATCCCAGAAGTGGCCAGTAGAACTTCCAGCAGGATCCAGGAGCAGAGCTGTTGCCTCCTTGATTTCAGGGAGTGGGGGTTGTTGTGCTGGTGGGCCAGGAGAACAGACTTTCCCCCAGGTGGGCTTAAGAAGGTGATGCTACTGCCTGGATGGACCGGAGGAGAGAGGATAATTTTTAAGCCTTGAAATCTAATGAAAATTGTCCTTCTGGGTTTTGAATATGCTTGGGACCTGTGGTTCCTTTTTTCCTTCCAATTTGTTTTTTGGAATGGAAATATTTATCCTATACTTGTTCCATCATTTTTTTTTTAGAAGCAGAAGATTCGTATTCTAAGTTTCTTAAGTCCGCAGGATGGACCACACATACCCAGAGTTTCACCCATAGCTGACTTAAATGACATAGTAGACAAGATATTGGACTTAGAGTTGATGTTGGAATGGTTTAAGACTTTTGGGGATGCTGAGATGGGGTGCATGTATTTTGCATATGGGAAGAGCATGAAATTTGGGGGCCAGGGAGAGGACTTTTACAGATTGGATTGTGTCTCTAATAATGATATTTTGAAATTCTAACCACTGTACATACAGATGTGACCCTATTTGGAAATAAGATTGTTGACGATATTATTAGTTAGGTTAATGTAAGTTCATACTGGAGTAAGATGGGTCCTAAACCAATATGGCTGGTGTCCTTAAAACGAGGAAAAATACACAGAGATAGAGGAAGAATGCTATGTTGTATTGCAACTTCAAATGAAGGAATGCTTTGAAGAGAGAAGTATGGAACAGATTCTTCCTCAAAATCTTAGAAGAATTCAACATGGCTGACACCCTGATCTTGGATTCCCAGCCTCCAGAACTGTAAATTTTTGTTCTTGTAAGCCACCTACATTGTGGTATTTTGTTACAGCAGCCCTAGGGAACTAATATAGTATGTAACACTAGACATTATTCCTGACTTTTCCTTCAATCTCCATTCCTGTTTCTCTTCCTTATTATTGCTCTCGTTTACGCTTTCCAACTAGTTCTTTTCCTCCTCTCTATTTTGCTCTTACCTCACTGCTAGCAACCTCAAGGGTCAGTATATGGGGCATTGAAGGAACATGATCAGGATCAGGATATAGCAAACATGTTTTGTTTTCTTCTCTCCCTCATATCTACCCAAATGAAAGTTTTTTGCTTAACTTGTTTGGTATTAGTTTTTGGAATATTTGTACAACTTAAGCAATTAAATGAGATGAAGGTGGGAAATATGATGTACAAACACTTGAAAGTAATTCTGTCTCTGCTTAGATAGCATCCCAACTGCCTATCAATGATCTGTTTGATTTCATGCCCACTCCCAACAGTATTTGAGACATCATTTTATTTATGATTTCTTGTGAGGACTATGTAATTAAGTATTTAAGTAGTCCTTATCACTCAGCTCTGGCATTGTTAAATAAGTGTGCCTTATTGTAGGGTCTCTGTATTTTAGTCACCTGGGAATAAGTTTGATGTGGTTAACAATCCTTTGCACTGCAGATGATTGAAAGGTATTTCATTCAATTGTAGGAAGGTCAGAAAGTTTAGGAAATAGACAATATCACCTTTTTCAGAAGGGTACTGATTAGCATCACTTTGCAGATCTATGAATAAGATAAAAAAAAGTTCCTATTTTACAGAAGAGGAAATTAAAGCTCAATGATGTTAACCCAATTTTCCTTGTTAGTACAGTTTTTAAATGAGTAAGTCAGAATTTGAACTCAGTTCACTTAGTGCCTAGAGCTTAGACGCTTTAAACTATTGTCTAATACTTCAATTGCTGAGTCTAAATTGCCTCTTGTATTAGCCCAGAGTACTTTTGAAAATCAAGAATGGGCCCTACTTTTGCCACAAAAAACAAACAATAATTTTCATCACGGAAGTTGAACCCTTGGATGCTTTGAGGAAAAAAAGTAGGTAGTCTCATGATATATTTTACTGTTGCTACCCTCTTTTATCAGTCTTGCTTCTATATTTATGCTTTCTCTTGAAACTTGTCGAATTCATGCTACAATGACCATTTCTAATATGACTTTATTGCCATATAAAGCAGCCTCTAATTAAAATAGTATGTTCTGGCAATTAACTCATAAGCTCCATAAGGGATAAAAATAGACATCATATTCTGTCTGTAACCTTATCGATCCCAAAGTATTCTATATACTATAGTCCACCAATAATGTATATTAACTTATTCTTTTGAATTTATCTTTATTCTATTCCTGTTACCATTTTCTCTTCCAATAGATCACCAGAATATTTACATTAAAATTATAGTCAACTTATTGATTCCTTCCTTCCTTTAGACCATTGATTTTCTTACATCCTTCCTAATCATCTTGAAATCAAGTCTTCTGCATTTTCAGAGTAACCATATTTCCACCTCACCGATAGATGAAGACATTAACCTCTTTAATGACAGTCTAACCTCTAGCCCCTTTTTAGTTTTTATTCTGCCTCCAACAGTGCCAGATAAAGCAGAAAGGATTAAAAAAAAAAAAAAAACAAAAAAAACAAAGACTAAAACAAATCTTTGGATTTTCCCAGGAGGAAATCTTACTGAATGTAAAAAAAAAAAAACAGTCTCACTAAAGTGAAGAGATCAGGAGGCAAATTGAATTGGATT